GTCTTCTCTTTGAAACCGAGGCTACTGCTCGAGCACCAGTTTGGTTCCCAATCCCGGGCATTGAAGGCCCAACCCTAAGACGACAACGGCTCCGATTCCACACCTTACTCCGATACGCCCTGGGCCAGGAGAGGCTCCCACACGCAGGAGTGGTTGTCTCGACTGAGGCGTCCTGGCGATGCAATGAAAGTGGCGACGGCACAACTGAGACGACAACGGCTCTCGCTCGAAACTTCCTTGCGATTTACTCCGAGGCGCCATGGCCAGAAGCCCCAAAACACAACAATGGCGCTCTCGCCCGAGATTCCTGGCAACTCAATACAGTTGACGAAAGCTCAACTACGACGACAACTGCTCCCGCTCAATCCTTCATCGCGATGCACCGGACTGTAACACGTGGCCATGCACGCATCTTACGAAACGCAGTCGCCTACACTAGCCACGGAGAACGCCCACCCCATCTTCCAACACTCAGGCGCGTGCATACCCCACCCCCTTCCTTTGAGAAAAAATGTTAATCGCGTTCCCGAGGCCAAGATCCCTTAAAACATGGATCAACGTCCCCGGGGTCGCGATCCCTTGTGCACAAGTGATGGATCCACGATCCCGAGGCCGAGATCCGTAGTACAGCAATTACCCCAGCAATGCAGCCTCATAGCAGCAAAGGCGAGTGGGACCTGTGGGTCAGGTGGTAACTGTGGGATTGCAAAAAAAAGGGCCCACCCTCAGACTCAGCCCTACCCCTGGGAAAAAAAGAAAAAGAGAAACTCAGGACCAAGTGTATCTGTAGCGCTGGCGGAAGACATTCTTATCGACTGCCCAGGCCGATACGCATCGACATCGAGCGCCGAAAACTGCATTCAACAAGCTCGCATGCCTACGCAAAGCTTTGCCGACGGCTCTCGGATCCAGTCCTCTCCGATACTTCAATTTGAAATGGAACTTTCTTGCGGGTGCTACCTCGCTGTGGCGCGTTTCCCTTTGCATGGCGTTCCTGACTCTGGCCAGATGCCTGTTCACGAAGCTGATGTTTTTGCAATCCTTCGTTCAAGTGAGGGCGGGGGGGCACGATTTGTTGCCCCTCATGGCGGCAGAAGCAGCAGTCATCCAATACAGGGGTGTTGTTGAGAGATCGCCGCATGCATGCATGTGTTTTTGTTTGCCGTATCGCATTGCACGCAGTGTTGTGTCGATCATGCACTTGCTGTGTTCGCATGCCGCTGCCATTTTCATTCGAGTCCTGACGAGCCCCCGCAGGGGCGAAACGTTGACACGCGTAGTGAAAAGGCACGGGCTTGAGAGCGCCATACGAGTAAGGAGTACAGCAATTACCCCAGCAATGCAGCCTCATGGCAGCAACGGCGAGGGGGACCTGTGGGTCAGGTGGGAACTGTGGGACATGTGCTGCGTGGGACCCCTGCGAGGCCCGCGAGACCTGTGGGACGTGCGGGGCCTGCGTCAACACTGGGGCCTGTGGGGCCCGATCCCGATCCCGATCCCGATCCGATCCCGACCCCGATCCCGATCCCGATCCGATCCGATCCAACCCGATCCGATCATGATCCCCTTCCGATCTTGATCCAAATCCCGATCCCGATCCGACCCCGACACCGCTCGGATCTCGATCCGATCCAATCCCGGCCCCGATGCGATGCCGATGCGATCCCGTTCCGACCCCGGTGCGCTCCCGATCCCGCTCCGATCTCGATCCGATCTCGATCCCGATCCGATCCCGATCCGATCCCGATCCCGACCCCGATCCCGATCTGGATCCGATCACGATCCGGATCCGATCCCAGCCCTGCCGCGCGTTCGTGGCTGGGAAAGCTGAAATGGTGAAACTCCGATGGTCCTGCCGCGCGTTCGTGACCTGGGAACGGGGGAAGCGGTGAGAATTCGATTTACGTCGGGCTTGTCCCCCTAGAGGCAGTTTTGGGGCGAAAAATCAAAGATAGCAACAACAAAGAAAAGCTAAAACAAAAATATTGAAAACTCGGCCCCGAACTCGATGGCCTGTCACACATTCGCGACCTGGGAAAAGGGGGAGAATGATGAGAATCCGATGGCCTGTCTCTCGCGAGTCGGCGGCCGGACCGGAGGGGAACTGGGGCGTCCTGGGTCTCCCCCCTGTGGAACTCTGCTCTGTTTTTCTTACTCGCATGCCCGCGCTCTGGCCCTGTGCCCCTGGCTGCTGCTGCCCCCCTGGCTGCTCATCGTCGAACTATTCGGCGTCTGAGCGTCCCTCCTTCCTCTCGTCGGCCTCCCCCCTCCCTCCTTGCCCGCCGGCCAATTCGCTAGTTAGTGCCCCTACCTAGCTTCTCGCTGGAGCGGAGTCTCCGCCTCGCCGCTGACGAAAACAAATGCTTTTTTACTAGCATTGGAACTCGATAGCTAAAACGCTATTCGGGAACAATGGACGACGGCCTCAAGACGGCCCAGGGGGCACCCAAGATGGCCAAAGAGAGAGGGACACAAGCTGACTCCGAGTAGGGCCAAAATAAGCCCAAACCATCAATGTTCCTTATGTTTGTTTGCCATATATTGGCGCAGGGCCCAGGACGGTCCCACGAGCCCCAAGCTGGCACAGGGTCTTGGGGGTCATCTTGTGGGCGCGGGGGGCTCCCTGAATCCCTGCGGGTTCCCCATATTAGGCCTGTCTCAGGCCCCTCTTGAACCCCATTCGAGCATGTCTGTTGCCGTCCTGTGGGCCTCCTGGGCCGTCAGGGGCCCTCTGGGGCCGTCTCTGGGCGGGGGAGAAATGGGGAGGGGACAGCCAATCATCTAACACGAATTTTCAGTCCCTGCAAGCGGGGCTCGGCGGATTGCTTCCATGATGTGATATGACAGGCGTCCACGTCCAAGGATGTAGTGTCAGCACATGTTTCCAAAGTCTTCCCCCCCACTCCCTCGCCCCAGTGTCCCATGCAGCAGCAGAGGTTCCCAAGACAGCCCAAAGGGCCCAAGAGGGCCCCAAGAGTAGAACCCAAGACGGCCTTCGAGAGACTCACGACGGCCCAAGACAAACCAAATACGGCCTCACGACGGCCGCGAAAGACCCTTCAGATGGCCTGAAGGGCTCCAAGACAGCCTAAGAGAACCTCAGGACGGTCCCAAGAGACCCCCAAGGCAGCCCGACGGGGCCCAGGGAACTCCTAAGGCTGCCCCACGGGAGCCCAAGGAATGACGTCAGAAAGGGAGGGAGACGAGGAAGACGAGAAGGTAACCTCCGACGCGGCGCGGACGAAGGTGTGTCACATGTTACTGTACATTCCCACGCCTCAGGGCACGACGTGGCACACGCTACGGCCTCCTCTGCGCCCGCCGAACCAAGGCGCCACCGAAGGTGCTGGGCTGGCACGGTGGCGGGACTGACCGCAGGCAGCTGGATAGTGATGTACGTGATAGCGCGTGACTACGAGGACTCGCCGCAGGCAACTGGACAAATATGTACGTGATAGCGCGTGCCCACGGGGAGAAACCAGCAACAACGGAAGCTACAACACGGCACATCATCGCCAGAGAGGAGCAGCCACGCGCAAGCCGCTCCTTTTGTGCAGCCACTGCCAGTGTCTGCACGCACCGGTTGTGTATCTACTGCTGCCCGTCCGCCTTGCTCAGAGCAATTATGCCTTGCACGCGCGGGCAGAAATAACAAGTGTGAAGACAACAGGGAGCACCTCCAACTTAGAAAGGCTGGGTAGTCGAAGCCAATCTGGCGCCAATCTGGCAGGCCCAATCTGGCAAACGGGGGCAATCTGGCGAGGGAGCCAGCGCGAATCCAGTCTGGCGAATAACCCAAATCCTCCAGTATGGCCAGGCCAGATTGGCCCTTGGGGCCCAATCCAGTCTGACAGTCTGGCCTTCGACTACCCAGTCTCGACGGTGAGCGAATTATCCGACAGAGGGGGAGGAGAAGGACGCAGGGATGGATTCGGAGGAGGGCGAACGAGACGACGTTATAGCAAGGATGAGAGGGAAGGAGGAGAAAGGGGGAGGAACAGCAGGGCAGCGTGGGAAGGAGGAGAAGGAACTCGTGCTCCCTCTCCCCTCCCTCCTGCTCCTCCTCCCCCTCCTCGCTTCCCCTCCTCGACCTCCCACCCGGCTCCCTCCGAGGCCCCCCGCGTCGGCCTCGCCCTCCTCCGCCTGCTCCTCAGCTCTTCGAACTGGCTGGTGTCCAAAAGTCGGGCGCCTTCCTACCACGCCCCCGCCCTCTCCTCGTCCTCCACACTTCGGGGGCAACCGATCTCTCCGGGGCCCCAGAAACACATGGCCGTGCCAACCATCAGCAAAATCCAAGAGAACTCGCAGCCCCCCGAGCCCTGGCAATTCGCACGGGAGGGCCTCCCTCGAGCATCACCCCAGACTGGCCTCTGACCTGGTCAGCGCGCTCTGGACCAATCTCGGGGAGGCCGCACACGAAGGGGGCGTCCGTCCTCCGCAAGGGTGCGTCCGGATAGCCCTAGGTCGGGCATGTCCTCCTCCTACAGGCGGATATTGAAGGACAAATGTAGTATGGCCAAAAAAAATGCAGAAAAACAAACAGAACAACGATATAGAAACATCACCCCCAGACTATGTTTTACTACTTTGGAAGATTCCCCCTGTAGAGGGAGAGGCCCGACTTAAGGATAGCCAACCCCGGCGGTGCATCCTCGCCCCTGGGCCGAGTCTCGGGGGACGGTCCGCCGGACGCCCCCCCCCAGGAGAGAGCGGGCGGGGGATCGCTTCGACGCTTTCCGTCTGAAGTTTAGCTGAGCCTTCGGGGCAGCAGCCGTGCCGCCGTCCCCCCCTTCCCATCCTCCAGCCTCCCGATACTCTTTCCCCTCTTCTCTCGTCCCTTCTCCACCGTCCCTCCCTCCTTCCTCTCCCCTCCTCCACTCTGCACCCCTCCCGCCCCCTCCTCCGGTCTCCCTCCTCGTTCCTCATCCCTCCCACCTCCCTCCCGGTCCATGTCCATACTCCATGCCAGTCGTACTCGCACACTACCTTCGTCCATAAAC